GCGCCAGATCCGCTGTTCAAACCTCTGGCCCCACAGCCGCGCGCGGCCTCCTGGGAAATGTAGTCCCCACGCACCTGCCCCGCCCACGCGCCACGCACCACGCGGCGCGCACAGCCTCACGGGAAGTGTAGTCCCGACGCGCTCCAGGGGCTCGCGGTCCCACAAACCCCCGCGAGGGAGGCCGCCGGCCGGCAGGGGCTGGCTCACGCTGCATACGGTTTCTGAGCGCGCCGCCGGCTGAGGCCGGGCCAGAGGGTCGTCCCGAAGGGCCCTGGGGGCCGCAACCCTGCCCCACTCGAGTCTCGCTTCGTCCACGCTCCGGCGCCGCCCTCAGCCCCGCCCTGCGGCCCCTGGGAGCCCCACTCATTCAGACCTCCGCGCAGAGGTCACCCGAGGAGGACTCATGTGCAGCCCTGGAGGTGACCTGGGAGAGGCCAGGGCTTGACTGGGCGCCGGGACTCTTCACCGAAAGTCTCCCAGCAGGTTGCAGATCCCGGCTCTGTACTTGGGCTGCTCTGCGCAGGGGTCCCCACCTGTGAAACTGGGCTGACAGTAGCGCCTGCCTTGTGGGCGCCTGTCGGAGTGGTTTGAACTGATGCATGGCACACACGGAGAGGAGGGTAGGGGATGGCGCCCGGGCAATTGCTTGTCATCACCGTTGCTTCTGGAGGCCCCTAGGCCGGGCCAGACTGCAATCAGGCAAAGAGTGACCCCTGCCTGGGGGGCGGCCCCCACCGAAGCCTGCCATCTCCTCAGTAACGAGATGCTGGGTGGTTTGCTGAAGAGGGCACAATTCTGGGGGAGGGTGCAGCCCAAGGACTGATGTCTACAGTGTTGTGAGGCCGAGGAACCGTGAGGCTAGGTGACAGGAGGGATATCCAGGTGACCTGGGCTAACGATGCCCTGGGCTCTCTGTGGCATTAATTTGATATTTGCTCTTTCCAGGAGCCCAACTGAAAAGGGAAATATGGTCAGTTAGGAGAGTCAGGCTGGGCACGGTGGCTCATGCCTGTAATCCCAGCACTTTGGAGGTCGAGGCAGAAGGATTGTTTGAGTCCAGGAGTTCAAGACCAGCCTAAGCAACATAGTGAGCCCTCGTCTCTACAAAAAAAAAAATGTTTTTAGTTAGCCAGGCATGGTGGTGCACACCTGTAGTCCTGGCTACTCAGGAGGCTGGGGTGGGAGGATCACTTGATCCCAGGAGGTCAAGGCTGCAGTGACACATGATCGTGCCAGAGCACGCCAGAATGAGATCCTGTTTCAGAAAAAACCAAGGACCTGCATAATGAACATTTGTATACCTAACCCTGAATTGTACCCCACATATTTAAAATAAAATAAGATAAAATAAAGGAAAAGTTATGAGAGCCATCTTAATCATAAGAAAAAAACATGGAATTCCTTGTAGGAAGCAAAGCTTTTCCAAGACAGAGGCTCTGTGATGGAGGAACACAGCACCTCCAGTTTCCACACTGACTGCTTCTGCCCCTCACTGTTGAGCTGGGCATAGCTCTGAGCTTAGGCCAACCAAGTGAGTCCCCACAGCCAGAATCCCATGTGTTTAGCATGTATGAAGCCTTTTAAGAGCCAGCCACACCAGGGGTGCCAGGAAAGGCTGGAGCCACACACTCTTCAACCCCCTCTTGATGGCTGACAAGGAACCAGACCAGGGAGCTGGCCTGGGTACCCAGAACCAACCCTGGGGCCGCCTTGTGGAGGAACTAGCAGGAACTCCAGGAAACATGGGTTCAGAGATCCAGGCTGCAAGGGCTTCAAAGCCAACTCCCCAACATCCATGGGGACACTAGACACATCCATGGAGGCTGCCCAGCCAGCGCCTGGGAGACACAGGCCTCTCCAACAGACAAGATTGAGTTGATTGGAAGACCACCTCAAGGGAGCCACCCTCAAGCTAGGGAGACCTCCAGGCATCAGGACAGGAGATCCCAAGAGACTGACCAAGTCTGGAGCACAGAGGGTCCCCTCCTGGCCTGGAAGTATAAACCCAGGCAGCCAACATGAAGAAGAACTGAGTAGGTATGTGTATGTCCAAGTGACACTAAAAGGGTTTCAAGTCACTAAGCTTAGAGTCGGAAA